TACTCCTGGAAGAATTCGTTTGAATGTGATGAGTTTATTTTTCATTATTTGAGAAATGCAGTAATGATACTTTCTTGAAATTTTTATTTGTGTATTTTATTTTCGCAGTGTGATTGAGTATGCTCGCTTATCTCTTAATATTCAGTGATTCAAAGTGCGCACAGCTATGTAATTTTTTTTCAAGAAATACGTGTGAAATACTTTTCAAGTGACTGCCGCATCTAAGACTTTATGAGTATTTTTCCATTGCACAATGTCATGAAATCCTCATATTAACGATCTGATTGCAAATGCGTCAATTTCTTGCGCTTTCGGTAAAGTTAGCACTTTATAACAACCTGCTTTTGTCGCATGCAAACCATTGTCTCTTGGTATGGGCAAGTACAACAGAAACAAACATAAAAAAAATTGCCCGCAGCTTCCCTCGGGGGAACACTGAGGAGGATGCGGAGCATATAATTGGTTAACGGGGTGGTAAAGTGCGACTTACTTGGGTCGATGGCTAAATTGGTTAACGTGGTTGTGAAATGGTGTGTTAAATTGCGACTTACTTGGGTCGATGGCTAAATTGGTTAACGTGGTTGTAGGAGGGGGTGTTAAATGAGTGAACACGTACACACGTATGCGAAAGGACGGCGCTGGTCGAAGGGACGTCGATCATTGTGTTTGTGGATTCGTTGGAATTCATTTCACCGCGACCTTGGACGTCGACGCGCCGTACAAACCAACCGACGAGCGGCAACTGAGCGAGCGAGCGCCGACCTTGAGTATATATACAGCGCGACGGCGTATGCACTGTCAGCTGTTGAATGTTCTCGAAGGAGAAGCGCGCGCGCGGCATAGATGGCGACGGCGCGACGGCGCATGCGCTGTCAGCTGTCGAATGTTCTCGAAGGAGAAGCGCGCGCGGCACAGATGGTGGGCGACGGCGCGACGGCGCATGCGCGCGCGTCAGCGGTCGAATGTTCGAGAAGCGGTGCGGACGGCGCGGACGGCGCGGACGGCGCACTACAAGGCGCGAGTATAAGATGCTTCCGCATCTAACAAACTATACAATCTACAAAAGGAAGTTGCTAAGTACATACCAAACGTCAACTACTATGAACACGCCTATGAACTTTTTCAAGCGCTTTAATATTGTCCCAACTCACAAGAGTCACGACTACTCGCTAGAAATCAGACACAAGCAATCTGTTTTTGACAACAAGCGCGCCTTCCTAAACATCTTTGTACTGGAAACATCTACTACTCCTTACGCTACTCGTCGCCTACAACACTGGAACATTCCGTTGTGTAGAACAAATTTCGGGTGAGAGATGTTTCATTTCAATGTTCGCCTCTAAACTAAATAAACTAAATAAAATAACAATCACCATTGAAAAAACGCAGTGCACATGTTAAAACAGAAATACTTTTATCATGCCAATCGAGAAAATTCAGTTTGTTTAATTTTTCTTGTAATGTTTATTTTTTTGTATGCAGTAAATTGTTGTTTATGTCAAAAAATATTTTTGTTATGTTATATTTTTCATGGTTCTGCGAAATTTATCTAGCTAGAAACTGCTCATGTGTATTAGTCATCTGTGCATGGCATTATTTACGTACATATCTCTACTTGTACTGCGCACTTCTTTTTTTTTGACGCTCCTTGTTTCTTCATCCACAATCTTCGTCTTCATTGCTTGCCATGTATTAAGAAGGGTCCGGTTCTCCTCATTTCCCGAGCCTCCCCTCATCCTTTAAATAAAGTAAAATTGTATTGAATTGACTATCACAGTACGCAGGACACTTGCTTGTTAATTCTACAGAGCATTTTTTTTGTATATGGCATGCGTAGGCACCGATGTGTTTAAGACTGATGAGTCTGTGATGAATCTGTTAGACTAATAAACTGAGGGTTTCTGTGTCCCAAAGTTGTGTTTCATAAATATTCTCCGACCGCACCCTTGTTATAAGGAGAGATATTTGGGTGCTGCGTCAGCCGGCACAAGGTTGTGTGCTCGTACAATTCGCCCTGTCTTTTACTTAGGAGCAAAGCTCTCAAATTTTGAGGTAAAACGTAAAACGAGGTAAAAACTAGGTAAACATTTTGAGGTAAAATTGATTTAAGTACCAGTGTCAAGGACCAGCATCTTCGCGAGCATCAGCGCATCATATCAGGTTCTGTTGTTGCTATTGCGCATGTTCCAGTTGGCATCGCTGGGCAAGTGCAAATAACTGGCCATACAAACATCTGCAGCTCTTCTACATATGTCTTTGCGTGCAACATTTGTACATATATTTAGCGTCATTTCATGTCGTTTTTCTAAAAAAATGCAACACGGTCACCTACTCTCCGTGTGCTTCGCTTAAAGTTGATTCCAAGGTACGTGGGATCTGCCAGATTTTTTTTTTTTGAAACGAATATCACGTACGGCCACCTCGCATATCACTGCATTATGCCACAAATACATTACTTCAGAGGAGAGGAAAAAACAAATGAAGCAGCGTTACACTGCCTACTACAGCATGATTTTGCGAACTTCAGCAGAAACTTCAATTCTAAATTTGTGTGCCAAGAGAAGATACTCGAAATTCGGCACAGAACACCGGCTTGTCAGACATGCTGGTCCGTTATGGAAATCAGTATCTGTGCCGCAGCGTACAATGATATGGTTCCTGCTTTATTCACCTCTGCTTGTGTTCAAGTTCTCAAGCAAAGTTGCAACCTTCTGGCCAAACATACTTGCCGTTAGCCGAATGTGAACCTCGACCCAATTATAAAGTCACTATTCAAAATTTTATGCGAGCGTAGCGGTTCCTTTGACACACGATATTCCAAAGCAGTACATGAGCCAGTGACTTTTTAACTAGAGATGTGGCGTATATACTTTTCTTGCTCGTGAAGTAATAAAATGACGACTCCGCATCTTGCTAGCAGATGTTTCGATTCACAGATTCATAACGATGCCTCCAATAAGTCTTCTCTAGGTGAAGCTTTATGTAAACTTGTAGGAACTCGTTTCCCCGCTTCTCTGCTCACACACGGCGGTTGTGTTGCATGTTTACAACGAAGTACCAGGCCGGGAACCTGAGACTTATGCATTGAAAACACGCATGCAATGCTCGCGGGTTCAAACCTTCAGCTGCAGGAGCTATGATTACTACTTATTAGCATAGATTGACTTTATATTTGCTATTTCACAGTAAAGCCTTTTAGACATATTTTTTTAAACCTTGGCAACCCATGGCGTTTTCTCTGCAGTCTCTGCACCACCTGATGCAAGTTCATCGTTTGCTTTACGCAAGGCGAGTCAGTTACCGCAATACTGAAGATTATTTATTCAAAGCACGAGTCCATAGTTGTTTACTGTCAAACTTCTGAGCGAACTTCTAGGCGTTTTTTACGATGTCTCGAGGCCCACAAAAACTGTCTTCCAAAACTGTACCCTACTCACCGGAATCAACTGCGCAATAAGCAAGCTCTGACAAGATGATGCTTTATGTACAGCAACAAGCTTTTGAAATTCTCGTGCCACATACAGCATCTGCCTGAGCATAAAATACGTACAGGTTGTGCGAAAATGGAAGATAACTTCCGCCTGTAGAAATTAACACCTCATTTCTAGACACAACTGATGTTCATTATAACTACGGTAACTGAGAATAATAAATGGCTCTAATAAGTAGTTTTGATAAATAAAACTAAATGTATTGAAAACATCTGTAATGTTTACATACAAATCCAGCCCTCATAACTACGTTAAACATTAACAACTGATTACTGATGCCTCTTTCTAGTATTATTGTTATTAGGAGCCTGAAATAGCAATATTGTGTTTCGCTTAACAGGGTAGCAATACCTGAGCGCTGAATAAGAAGAGATATCACCTGTAAACTAAGTATCAGCACCTCATGGTGAATATATGTCAAAACGACGATAATTCACACACATTTTCAGCAGGACTTGGCCATGTACATGAACAAATTGAATATTAGGTGTACTTGCATACGAGCATTGCGTATCGTTCTCACCACGCTGCTCGAACACTTCATACTACAGAAGTTCGGCTGTATAACCTCATAGAAGCTTTTTCCACCAAACTGTATATTTACGGGACTCTTGTTACAACAATACTTCATGTACCTTACAGTAATTGAAAATCGACAAAACTTTTAGGAGCGAAGCACCTGTTAGTCTAACCTGGTCATGTGTCACGCGTAACCGAGAGATGAAGAGACGAAAAAAAAGAAGACAGTATCTCCAGGCCAGTATATTATACGGCGCTGTCTTATGGAAGTAAATTTAAACTGCAGTTGAGTGAGGATATTGTAGATGGCGCTGAACCACTACTCTCCGATTGGCTGCTGCGCGGGCTGTGCCTGGGTACACGAATAACGAGTGCCTCTCATGGCGAATTCCATTGGGAGAGCAGGAGCATTCGAAAGCACGCTTAAAGTGCTCTCTTCAGAGCCGGCGTGTCTCAATTGTCGAACAGGTGCAGGAGCACTGTCATACATTGCTAGAGCGAGTGGGCTTTTGCTGCGCCAAGAGCAGCCAGGAGCAGTTTGCAGTGCTCTCACCTTAAAAGCGGAGTAGCCGCAGTACGACGATTCACGTGGTCTTTGAACGTCACAGCCTCCAAATTTTTCTTCAGCCGGCAAGCGCGGTGGTAATGGTAGCAACCATGTGGAGTTTGATACCACTCTTCTATACGGATGGCTACCACGAGAGTTGGACGTTAGCCGAATTAGACGTTCCACAAGCATACTAGGTATTAGGAAAGTGAAAAATACGTGGCTGATCGATTTCACGCGTATTTTGTTGCTGCCCCACAAAGAATATGCCGGGGCTTGGAATGTTTCAGTCGCATGGTCTCCCTACTCGTCCCCTTCTCACCTGCGCTCCGGGAGAGCGGCGCATTCCAGTGGCAGGTTGAGTGGCCCTGCTCTCAGTGCTCTGCCCCCCTCCTCCTCAGTGCCCTGCCCCTCTACTCCTGTTCTCTCAATGTAATTCACCATCAGTCTCCTGGATAGTCAACGTACGGCGTGAATCGGTGGTGGGGCGTGGTCACGAAACTCCGGCGCCACGGTTCCGCAGGTCGCCACTGTCGCGGGCCGCCAAGGTTGTTCCGTAGCGCGTTTCTCAGCTCGCCGCTGCTTCTGCGCAGAGCTGATAGACGAGCCCACAAGACGGCGGTGACTTAAGGCAAGATTTATGTACAGCATAGAATAGAGGCATTAGATATTCGGCGCTGGGGCCAACAGCTTAGGGACTCGAAGAGCCGAGGTGTCTTTCGACGCTCTTCTCTTTGACGCAAAGGTCGGCTGCTTGGCGACGCGCCGCTTGGCTTTTTTTATAAGCCCCGGGTGGGCCCTTACGTCAGCAACATCCAATCAGAAGTGCCCCTGGCCATGGTGTCAGAATCCTCTATTAAAAAACCACCGCTGGGTTGCACCCATAGACGAGTGATGCCACTCATTGCGCAAGACTCGCCAGACTGGATGGCGCCGATTGCATTATCGGGCTGCTATCGGGCCCATGGATCGAGGGAGCTCGCCGTGCGTTGGGTAAGACAGACCGGCGCCGCCGGGTTAGCTGACGTCGTTGAGGTGATGGCGTCAGGTGGGCTCGCTCGCTGGCCTTGACACAGATTGCCTTAGCAGAGGCAATGACGTTCGGTCTGGACTCCCAAGCGTGACAGCATAGATGAAGCCGAGCGGTGGGCGCGTTGAAGGCACTTGCGCTCGGCTTCCTTAACTAGTGTCTTGTCGGTGTTACCCATGCACCGTCTGCATTTCCGAACGCAATCGGATGCATGGACGCATGCTCGGACGAATGGACACACGGATGGATGGGCGGATGAACGCTTCATCCCACTCATCATCATTCACTCGGTTTATATACTGTGAATTTTTAGTTTCTGCAGGAACATTCAAGAACACTGAAAAGCACAGCATTCATCAATAACATTAGTCTGGAATTTATAGGCCTCATGGCGCAAAAGTTTTCCTTATTTCATATGATATAAAAAGGATGTAGGATAGAGCTTTTTGATGTGGTTGCACGACTGCAAAACAACACGGAAGACGAAAACACGGGAAGAACAAGACCAAGCGCCGGCTGTCAGCAATGTGTCTGTCTGTCCGTCCGCCTGACCATCCATCTCTCTGTGTGCCCGTTCATCCATCCATCCCTCTGTGTATTCGTCCGTTCATCCGTCCGTTAATCTATCCGTCCGTTTATCCATTCATTCGTCCGTTCGTCTGTCCGTCCGTTCGTCCATGCATCCATCCGTTCGTCCATTCATCCATCCGTGCGTCTGTCTGTCTGTCTGTCTGTCTGTCTTTCTGTCTGTCTGTCTGTCTGTCTGTCTGTCTGTCTGTCTGTCTGTCTGTCTGTCTGTCTGTCTGTCTGTCTGTCTGTCTGTCTGTCTGTCTGTCTGTTTAACCGTGGAGCAGCGGTTAAAGAAGATAGGAAATGAGATTGTGATGGGTAATTCTCAAGAATACAAGTGACGCTTTCTCGTTTTCTGAACAAACACCTAATGCGTTTTCACTTGTGTCGCCATCTATAGATTCCGGCTCCAGCCCCTGCGGTGGACATGACAGCGATGTCGCTACTGCTTCCAGAACAGCGAGATGAAGAATTATTGAGAAAGAGAGTGAGATAGAGAGAACAAAGAGACAGTGCACACTAATGGAGAAAACGACCCTGGCTGTAGGGGTGTAGAGATAAGCACAAAAACTGTTCCCTTTCAAGAAATGGAAACCTAAAAAAGGACGAATATAGGTGCAGATAAATCACATTGAAAGAGATAACACACACACACATATATATACGTGATGAATAAAGCTCGGGCTGTGTGCAAACGAGTACAGGCATACAGGAAGACAAGTGCACCTTCGGGAACGTTTTTCGCTTTCTTGGAGTGCCGAAGAGCTGGAATCGTGGTTAGAAAAATGAAACACATGCGCTCCGAGTAAATGTTTGCTTAGTAATCGAACGTCAGGTGAAAACGGAGCCCCGCTGACGATGTACTGAGAACAAAAGTATAAAAGAAGAACATGGAAAGAAAGATGGAGACTCAGGGGAAACACGCTGAAGAGGTGAAAAGCCGCGCAACTATGCATGTTTGTAGAGTACTTGTGTATTTGATAGAACCAAAGCAATGTACACTAGCAATCGATAGAGCATATGGAAAACCACAGTCAGGAGTGCCTTCAGAACAGAATTGGCTTAAAGTATTTATTTTAATTGCTTTAACTTCCCACAAGATTTAATGCTGGGCTGACTAGTTCAATATTGTGAAGGCGTTAGCACGAAAAATTATAGATAAACAACACTCACAAAGACTAGTAGGTGTGACTTCAGTTAAAAAATGAAATTTTAATTTGTGGCTGTAGCTTCACTGTGGTGGTGTGCAGATTCATCTGTCTCCTATTCCTTGTTTTTACGGTAAAATGAAATGAGAAATGCAATGTGTGAAATATATTGCTTGCTTTTTGAAAAGAGTGGGTGTTGGCCCATTGTCACGCAATTGGCCCTCCAGTTCGTTAGAAGGAGCCTTTTTGATGTTTTCTGGGTAAGCGTTCAATGCAACCAAAAGATTATCGATAAACAGACAAGAGGAGTGAACAAATGCAGTGTCGTGTAAATCATGGCATAATTGACACACTACTCTCATAATCATGGCGTGGTTTTGGAACAAACACCAAGTGTGATTAAAAGTGTCTGAGATATATTCATGTCACGGTTTTGGGACGTAAAACGTCAAGAACTGTTATCAAAAGCTTTTAGACAGCATATATCGTGAGCTCGTGGATGTTTAATATTCCTCCCATGTTGTGTCCAGGTTTATGCTGGCTACTTCAATTATCAGAAAGCTGTGGACATTATCAGCTAGAGACGTCAGCCGTACATACGGAAATGTGCCACCAGGCTCCAACCTCGGCGAATACACGCTATATAAGGTGCTATAGCTGCCCAACATCAATAGTCCCTGAGCGCGCTCTATTAGTATATCAATGTACAACAAAATATCAACTGCTTCTCTGAAGATACGTTTCACATTCATATTGTACCGATGCCTATAGAGTTTCTTAAATAGACACCAGAGGGAACTATGGCGCCAGTGTCTATCTGCAAATGGCCACTCTATCTGCTAATGGCCAACAACAAGGAAGATTTGCAGAGATGGATGGACATCTGCGGTAATGAGGGAGATAGGTTAGATTTTAGATTCAGTAAGAAAAAAATCAGCAGTCATAATTTTCAATGATAACGAAGGTAGTGAGCTTAGAATACAGGAGGTCACGCTAGAGATAACAGGTAAATACAAATATCTGGGCGTATGGATAAGCAATTGGACCGAGTACCTGAAGAAACACGAAATATACGTGACGACTAAAGGTAACAGGAATGCAGCAGTGATGAAAAACTTGGCACTGTGGAATTACAATAGGTATGATGTTGTGAGAGGAATATGGAAAGGAGTCATGGTTCCTGGGCTGACGTTCGTCAATGCGCTCTTGAGCATGAGATCAGAAGTTCAAGCAAGATTAGAAATACGCAACGTGGAATAGGTAGTCTTGCTTCAGGAGCTCACGGGAATACACCAAATGACGGAGTACAAGGTGATATGGGATGGACATCATTTGAGGGCAGGGAAGCTAGCAGCAAGATAAAATTTGAGAAGCGATTCAGAGAAATGGGGGGGAGCGCTGGGCTAGGAAGGTTTTCAGCTACTTGTACATGAAGGATGTCGATACAAAATGGAGGAAGCGAACCAGGAAATTGACTGGTAAATACTTAGAAAACAGGAGGTGGCCAAACCAAAAAAAAAAAAACTATCCGTTAAGAAGAAAGTGAAGGAAACGGAGACTGACATGTGGAGAATTGGCATGATTAAGAAGTCCGCGCTAGAGATCTATCGAACTTTTAAGCAGGAAATTGCCAAGGAAAGGATCTATGATAATACTCGGGGTAGTTTTCTACTGTTTGAGGCCAGGACGGGAGTATTGCGAACGAAGACATATTGGGCCTAATACGAAGGGGTAGACACAGTATGCAGCGCGCGTGGAAAGGTATAAGAAACTGCCGAACACTTGATAATGTTCTGTAAAAGGCTTCAACCTATAGTTCAGGCTGATGGCGCAGAGTTTTTTAAAGTCCTGGGGTTTAGGAACAGGGAGGGCAAAATAGACTTTAAGCGAGTAGACTTAACTAGAAGGAGCTTATCTGATTGGTGGCTAAAGTCAAGGCACGAGTGAAAATTAAACCCTTCACTGCAAAGTACGAATCCTCAAACTCACTTAAAAAAATCTAGTTTTTGGTTCATTAAGTATTACGGCTTGGTGGCGCTAGCCACCGCCCGATCTAAAGGGTACAGCCATATCCATCCATCCATCCATCCTATGGGAGGTGCAACGCATAGCGCTTCAGAGAGAATGGGATTTTGGCTATTATTATTATTATTATTATTATTATTATTATTATTATTATTATTATTATTATTATTATGTGATTTATGGCAGCAAGGGTTTGTTTGAGCGAGGTTGGCATTGCCAGCAAACATGGTACGCGGAGAAGGACAGTTTGATATCCAGGTGCCGGAGGGGATTTTCGGCACGCACTTTGTGAGTCAGGGTTAGGGACGGAAGGCATAGTCCGAAATGAGTCAAGTGTTTTTGCAGACACTGTACCCAAATGGAGTCGAATTACAGTTCAGAATAACAAGAAAATTGCGACATATCTCAAGGTTCTTCAAGCGCACATGACTGATATCTTCTTCTGAAGCACTGTATCTGCTTTTGTCAAGGTTAAATAATTTAACAGCGACGCGATGCAGGAACCGACGGACACACCTGCTTTCTGCAAAAGCACCTTCTGATTCCACTCAACAAACGTTGAAGTTGGATACAAGTGCAAAATGTCAAAAAAGGTCTCGTATTAATACCTGCCGCATTTCGAAGTTCAAGTTCGCCAAAGTTTTCAATGCACTCCATATTTCATTTTTTTTATTTCCTTAAAGACCCCTTGCGGGGCATTACATAAGGGGTGGGTACATAAAAATTGAGCAGAAAACAATCGTTTGTCCTAAAGTGAAAGATGATTAGTGATACTGGTTGTGAAGGTAGAAGTACAAGTAATGGCAGGAATGTCGCCTGAAA